GACAAGCAGCCTGGGGCGGAGTGGGCCGGGCGGGGCTCCAGGGGGAGGTGAGGCCGAGTAGGCACTTAGGTAAGGGGTCCCCCAAATTGAGGGAAGGCCCCCCTCCTGCAGGAGGATGTAAGGGTGGATTGAGACATGCACAGAAACCAAGTAAACAAACCGGAGAGGCAATTATTAACTCCAGGGGAAACCAAAAGTTGTGCAAGAAGCAAATATAACCCCGGGACACCTTGTTCTCTGCCGGGGCCTGTGGTGATGAAGCTGTAAGAATGGTAGTGGGTCAGGGGACACCTAATGTAACACACACAAACGCGGTCAAAAGGCCTGTGGTTTTGTGGGACCTGGATTTTCAATGACAGGAGATACAGCGAAGAGTGAACTTGGAAAGGATCAGGGTCGGAGACTACGTTTATTGTTTATTTATTATTCGCCTAAAAAACCACTTTACTTTTTAAAATAATATGTGTATAACTTTGATAAACGTTAAAACGAAAACCTCAACATAGGCTCGATTAAACGACGCGGTGGCAGTAAGGGGAGTTCCGCGTCGGGTTTAACCGCTGGTACAATCTGTTACTCCTTTGACATCAGACTGTTTAAGATGATGTGGATCAGACAGCTTAGCATCAGGGTTTCCAACTAGGCATGTAAGTAATTTTAGATTTGTAATTTCAGGGTGAAGGGTGTGAGAATTCAAATAGTTTTGTGGAGTGAAATGTTTATGACTCGAGAGCCACCGTATCTGCGCTCACAACGTCTTGGATGTGCCTTGGTTGGTTTTGTCTTGGGCTTTGGTTCCGGTGACGTGGCAGGTGGAATAATGACTCTCCCCTCCCCCCAAAGATGTCCGTACCCTAATCCCCGGCCCCTGTGGATGCTCCTTCCCACGGCAGGACCTGGAGATGGGGAGACTATCCGGGGGGACTCAGCCTAATTACATGGAGCTTTTCTGGCTGCAGAAAACCAGACAGGTGGTTCACGAGAAAGACTTGGCCGCTGTTTCTGGCTTTGAAGGTGGAGGCTGGGGCCACGAGCCAAGGAATGTGGCAGCCTCTGGAAGCTGAGCTCGGCCTGCAGTTCACAGCCAGCCAAGCACGGGGCCTTGGCCCTGCCGCTGCGAGGAAATGAATGCCTGACCAGCGCCCAGCGCCCAGCGCGTGCCATGCCTCGCCCCGCAAGCCAAACCCCAACCTGAGGGAAGAGAACCCGGATCCTCCCCGGGAACCTCCAGGAAGACGTGCTCTGGGGGCGCCTGGGCTGTGGCCGGGTGAGGCCTGGGCCAGACGTCTGACATATAGAAACAGAACCGCCTGGGTGGGTTGTAGCCACAAAATCTGGGTGATTCTTGTAGCAGCAACAGGCACCTGGTCAGTGGGAGCTTCCCCGGTTGGCCTCTGAAACGCCTAAAAGGAACCCTGAATGCACTATGTGTATGTGTACGCATGCAGTGTAAATGGTCAGAGTGTTTACATCTGAGAACAGAGGAGGGGGCCCGAGAGAAGCCAGTCCAGGGCAA